GTTTGTATTTAGTTATGTGCAAAATTGTTTATAAAAAAAAATAAAAAAAATAAAAAAAATAAAAAAAAATAAAAAAATAAAAAGAGAAAAGAAGAGTTCCTACAGTTTCAGTTAAGGGGTGTGGTTGGAGGTATTAGTAGAGTAGTTGGAAATCTTGAGTTCTTGTAAATCTCAACAAGAGAATTGCTAACAATGTAGCTTGGGACTTGTGTTTACATATCCTTTCATTTCTATGACCCTCTCCCTAAGCCTCATTACATCCAATAAAAGTCCTCTTGATTTAAGTTTTGCAATTATGATTGTGGAGATGAGATCGTTATGCAAGCTTATGGTAGATCTTTCACATTTGATTCTTTGAGCGAAACACGTTAAACTAAACATGTGTGATTGAGTGTATGTTCCGTGAGAAGGTCACTCGTTCGCATATGGTGTTTTAAAAAAAAACTTGAAATTGCATTAGCATGGCTATTACACACACTACACTTCAAGGATGATTAAAAGGTTTCAACTAACATTTGAATAAGGAAGATGAGCTTGGATTAGCTTGTTTGGTGCTAGCTAAGGTTCCTGATGAGTTGGTTTCTTGAATGAAATTCTATGAGGGTCACATAAGGGAAAGCTAATGTTTTTCATTTTGCTACTTTTTCATGTTTTCTTTGTTTTGCTCGAGGACTAGCAAAAGCTAAGTGTGGGGGTATTTGACAAGCTCATATTTATATATATTTTACATCAAATTCACTTGTCTTTTCTTAGGTAGTTCCTTATATTTTTGAGCTATTTACTCTGTTTTTGTGTTTTGTAGGATCTGTCAAGCAAAGAAAAGAAAAAATAGCACAAGTGGGCTTTTAAGTCACAAATTCGTCAAAACTGCCTGTGCAGGTGAGCTGACTTTGGAAGCAAGTTGCGAACAGCTCAGAATGAATTAGAGAACGTGCCATATATGCTTGGAAAGCTACAGATGTCTATTCTCTGGAGCATTTCGTGGATTGTTCATATCATTTTTCTAGAAGCAGTAATGACCGTTTTAACACTGAAAGGTTCACAAGAGGCTGAGCAGTTTGTAACTGCAATGAAAGCAATAAACCCAATAAACGTGACAGCCAAAACGGATGCTGAAAAAACAAGCCAGTGGAAACCTATTCAAATATCTGAGGAAATGGAATTAAAGATGGGGATTAGGTGGGAGTAATTGGCTTAAAGGCCACCCAAAGAGTTACAATTGTTTTACCATTTTCTCTCACTTATTGTCATCAATAAATAGCTATTAGTGGAATAAGTTTTGGAGGGAGCGATCTGTGGAAAAAGAAACAGAGAGGCAAGGCAGGAACGTTGGAGGAGGGAGGAAATCTTGGCATTCTCTTCTTTCGGTTTTACCTTCCCAAACTCATGTCTTTCTTTTGGTTTAATTTAAGAATAATGTGTAACTAAATTTTTAGTAGTTAGGGGCTGTTTTGAAGCCCCATATATGATTGCAAATGTGTTATGACATTTCGTTTCAATTTCTTTCATGAAAGGATGAAAATTGCTTCACTACTTGTCTCGTTGATGAATTCTTTATGTGTTTTCTACGGATGCATACTTAGTAAGCATATTTAGGATTTTAATGCTATGAATATGTGTATGCCTGCCCTTGTTGAATGAGGACCTACATATGTTCTAGAGTAGTACTTGTTATTTGCATTTAACATGTGAATCAATTTCTAGGATAAGTAAGACAACGCCAGTACTTATGATGCCTTGTGATGACTCAAACTCTTTTCGTTCTTAATGATTTCTACTTGTTAAATCTATGAACACGCCATTCTAGATTGCATGCTAGGGACTAAGTTAAGTTGAAAACGTCATTCTCTTAACATACTACATAAGAAAGAGTAATAGGTTGAGTTCTAACATTGAGCCAACTTGAGCATCTTCATCCGGAAATAAAAGGAATCTGATTGAAACATAACATGTTTGCATGACTATTTGGTGGTGGATAGCACTTCCCCTAACTCATTTTCTTAATTGTGAAATATAATCTGTTCTTCAAAATCTGTTTCTGTTCTTTTGTTGTCCGATTTAATCTATATAGCAAATCAACTCTAAAAATCCCAAAAATTTGTGTGAGTGTAGCTCTGCGTGTCTAGTATCTGTGCATAAAATTTCATAGACTTTCGATATGTGTAAGTGGGGATAATAATTATTTCTTCGGTGGCTGGTCAGTAGGGACAGCAGCCCAGTTTTTGTGACATTTCAAGTAGTTAGATAAGACAATCTTCTGCGGGAAAGACCCTTATTTTCATATGCTACAATTGATGAATCTTAGTGTTAATAAGGAAAATCAATAGGTTATTTGTGTGCTACTTTGTGGTGTGCTTTTAAACCTATCAGTCCTTGTCTGTAAATCTTCATTATTTCCTACCTTCTTTGACTCTTCGTTTCTCTATAAGCCTGAGTTATCAATGTGTTAATGGATCATTGTATAAATAAGTAGCTTGCGAAGAACATGCTTTATTATTTAAGATTTTATGTCAAAGTCTCTAGTAGCTTGTGGAAGTAGAATATCTTATCTTTATTTATGTAAACCAGCCAAGAATTTTCCAGGACAATGATATATTGTCTCATTCTTATTCTTATTCTTGGCTTTACTTCTAAGTTCTAACTCTTTGATTTGCTCCATATTTATAAGAACCTGTGAGCAACATAATTAAACAGCACATCAACAAAGAAACATGCTAGTGCAAGTTGATCACCTAATGCCTCATGGCTTCCTTTTCATCTTCCTATTCTCTTCCATTATATCTACCAATATTATTCATGCATGCAACCAAACCGAAAGCAGCTCTCTCCTGTCGTTCATCCTCAGTCTGTCTTCTCCTCCTTTAAATTGGACTTCCCTTGATTGTTGCCATTGGGAGGGCATTAGTTGTAATCACGATGGTTGGGTCACCGATGTGGACTTACCCTCCAAAGGACTCAAAGGAGGTAACTTTCCCTTGTCACTTGGAAATCTCACACATCTCAGGTACCTGAATCTATCCCACAACTCACTTTACGGTTCACTAGACCAATCCGCATTCTTCTTGTCCTTGAATAATCTTGAGATCCTTGATTTGAGCTATAACCTTCTTTCCGGAGAGCTACCAGATTCTCTACCATCCAGAAATATGATCCGGATGGTTGATTTGTCCAGCAATCACTTCTATGGTGTAATTCCATCTTCGTTTTTCCAGGAAGCTAGGAATTTGACTAGTTTCAGCGTCAGCAACAACACCTTCTCAGGTTTTATCCCATCCACCATTTGTCTTCATTCTTCTCCCTTGATTAAGCTATTGGATTTTTCACTCAATAAATTCAGTGGCAATATATCTCCTGGACTAGGGCAGTGTCTCCAACTGCAGGTTTTTCATGCTGGTTACAATAACCTCTCAGGATTACTTCCAGAAGATATATATAATGCTACCACACTTGAACAAATTGCATTACCTGCTAATTCACTTTATGGAGCCATTAGTGATAGAATTGTGAACCTCACCATTCTCACTATCCTTGATCTCAACTCTAACGGTTTTAGTGGCATGCTTCCTGCTAATATTGGGAAGCTCTCCAATTTGAAACTCATGCTCCTTTATGCCAACAAACTAGAAGGTTTGCTGCCGTCATCATTGATGAATTGTACAAAACTTATAGAGTTGAGTCTGCGATTCAACAACTTTGAAGGAGACATCTCTGCTATTAATTTCTCCAGGTTTAGTCAACTTAGTAAACTTGATCTAATGAATAACAACTTCACTGGTATGTTGCCAACAAGCCTTTACTCATGCAAGTCACTTAAAGCAATTCGACTGAGCATTAACCATCTCAAGGGACAAATACAACCTGAGATCCTTTCACTAAAATATCTGTCCTTCCTCTCGCTTGGTTTTAACTCACTGACCAATGTAACAGGGGCAATGAAAATACTGATGCGATGCGAAAGTCTCGTATTCCTGTCATTGACATCTAGTTTTGTAGGTGAGGATTTGCCCTCTGACGAGGGCATAGTTGAATTTGATGGATTCCAAAAGCTTCGACTTTTGGATTTAAGTCATTGTGAGTTCTCTGGACAAATACCGGTATGGTTATCTAAACTAAAGAAGCTAGAGTTCTTGAATCTGTTTCATAACAGAATCACAGGGTCAATTCCTAGTTGGTTGGGAACTCTTCCAAGGCTCTCGTATTTAGACTTGTCATTCAACCAAATTTCAGGTGAATTTCCAAAGGAACTTTGCAGACTTCCAATGTTGGCATCGGGACAAACTGCAGCTCAACTAGATCGGGGATATCTTGAATTGCCTATGTTCGCCTCAATACCCCTGATTCTAGCCAAAGATACAAATTACAACTTTTTGTCTTATGCACATGCTTTACAGTACAACTATTTGTCTCACCTTGCACCGTCCATATTCCTATACAACAATAGCATCAGTGGCAGCATACCTACCGAGATAGGCCGATTGCAGCTTCTCCATGTGTTGTATCTTGGTGTCAACAACTTCTCTGGCAGCATTCCGGACCAAATATCCAACCTAAAAAACTTGGAGATATTGGACGTCTCCGTGAATCATTTGTCTGGAAAACTCCCAGCGTCATTGGCAAGCCTCAATTTCTTGAAATCTTTTAATGTCTCATACAATAATCTGGAAGGACCAATACCAAGAAGCACTCAGCTCCAGAGCTTCAACGCCTCTGTATTTGAGGGAAATCCTAAACTTTGTGGTGCCCCACTTCCAAATGAGTGCAGATCAATCAACGCCGTTGGCGGAGATGATAAGAACCATCAAGATAAGGATCAGAATGGGCATCAAATTCCATGGTTTTATATTTCTGTGTTGCTTGGGTTCATTATAGGATTCTGGGGAGTGTTTGGTCCTTTAATGGTTAAGAAGACGTGATATGCATGTTTTCAAGCCCTAGGCAAAGTGCAAGACAGGCTCATCATCGTGTGGATGACCAGGATGCAGAGAAGACTTAGAAGCTAAATTCTACTTTTGGATCTTTTACTTTCCTGTTCCTGTTGCTTTTTTCTTTTTCTTTTATGTTAATATAGCAATAATATATGGTATAAGTTATGGCTCATCATATGGTATAAGTCCCTGTCTGTAATCCTTATTATTTCCTACACTCTTTGACTCTTTGCTTCTCTATAAGCCTGAGTTATCTATGCCACTCCATATTTAAGAAAACATCAGTAACTGTTAAATTTGGTTTTAGAGGGGACTGGTGTTAATGGATCATTATATAACCTTCTAATGTATCAAACCATAAACATTCTTATTTATAATACATCGAGAAGCCTCTCATAATCATATGATAGTGAAGCCTTTCCCTTAACACCAAAATGGCAAGGTAACGATAGGTTTTTGAATTAATGGAAGACAATGCTCAATACCTTGCTCTTATCTCCCCCGAGGTTCTGCCCGTCGACAATTCTGTTCCCAAGATAGTAACAGATTGAGCAACCCACCTATGTTGCAGAAACTCCAACCTATTAAGATGAATGCGAATATCTTTAATATCCTTGATTGGCAAATATAAGCAATTTTACATGAACAAACAATAGATACTCTTCTTATATGTTTACAAAGCTAAGTGTGTTTCAGCAACAAATTTCCTTGGATTAAATTTACTTGAATAGATTAAAAGAAAAACTATAAACTAGGGAGAAAACAGCTTTACTTGTTAAGGTCGACCATCTCCAGCATTCTCCAATGCGACAAGAAGGTATGCAGGAGCTGCAGATTCAATACAGTGCAGTACTTGTCTATGTCAGCCATTGGCTGATGGGCTTACTGTGGGACTCACATCAATCGGCAGCTACCATTCTCGGAAGAAAAAAGAAGGAATACCAGGCTGATTCTATACAATGAAGTCCTAGTCTCTGCAATCGTAATTAAATATTTCTTAAGAGTCTTCGACTCTATGTTTGTTTTTTCTGTACCGTTTCAACTCAACTAAAAAAAGAAGGAATAACTAATGAAGACTTTGAAGTTTTTGTTGCCAAAATCATAATGTATATATAAGAGGAAAACCATCCAAGATTTCTATGGTCAACATGTCTAGTGGTATCTGAGGATTAGAGAAGCTTGCAATATGTACACATGAATAAGTTGCGAAGAACATGCTTTATTCATTAAGATTTATGTCTGCATCTCCAATGGCTTGTGGAAGTAGAGCATCTTTATTTATGTGAACCGGCCTTGAATTTTCAAGGACAATTCTATCTTCCTTATTCTTCTGGGCTTTGCTTGTTCTAACTCTTTGATTTGCTCCATATTTTATAAGAACCTGTGCGCAACGTAACTAAACAGCACATCAACAAAGAAACATGCCAGTGCAGGTTGATCACCTAACTCTTTGGATTTAAGTGGTTTTGAGCTCACTGATCAAATCTGGAAGGGCCAATACCAAAAAGTACTCAGCTCCAACGCTTCAATGCCTCAGTATTTGAGAGGAAGCTTAAAATTTTCGGTGCCCCGCGTCCAAATGAGTACAGACCAAGTAATGGTGTCGATAGAGATAATAAGAACACTCAAGATGAGGAGAATGGGCAAAAAATTCCATGGTTTCAATTTTTTTTTTTTTTTGGGTTCATTGTAGGATTTTGGGGCGTTTCTGGTCCTTTAATGCTTAGGAGCTGCAGAGATTTGCATCTTTCAAGTTTCTTTTTTCCTCATGTAAGGGCCGTTCGGTAACGTTTTAGAAAAATATTTTCTTAGAATATTTTCAGAGAATAAAAACAAGAAAACGTCTGATATATTAATTAGAAAACATCTTTAGAAAATACAAACAATGAAAACGTGTTTGGTAGTACAATTTGAAAATAATAACATGTGAGTTATTTTCAAGTGTATTTTTGCTAATTTCAGTTTTGTTTTAAAAACATTTAAAAAAAATTCTGCTATTTTTTAAAGACAAATTTATAAACAATTTTAAAAAAGTATAATTTAACAAATAAAAAATTATAATATATTTTTAAGCCAGGTTGTCATTGATGTGCTGTGAAAATAATCTATGTTAGATTTGTTGTGAGAGAAATCGGCTGTTATAGAAAGTAGTTTGGCATTTGGTAAACTTTTTGTTAAAAGTGTTGGTAATGATTCCCGCATAATCATTAAGCCCAACGCCTCTTTGAAACTGATTCTCGCATAATCAGAAAATAAAAGTACCTCATTAGTTGTTTCCTCTTATAGTTTTCTCTCATAGAAATTTTTAACAATAAATAATTTTCTCATAGTTTACCAAACGGACTGGGCTTCCCAATTTTTTTTAAAAATCACTTATTATCCCAAATATGCAATGCCAAACGGTCACTAAGAATCTTATATCTTGTACTTTATACTTTTAATGTTTCTCTTCTTTGTTTTGTTACTAATGTAAGGCACTAAATTATGTCTTCGTTTTCTTTAAGACTATTCTTTCAGTTAAAAGAAGTAATAAAATCCACAAGCATTTCAGAATATAGCAGTCTTCAAAATATAAATTATATGTATAAATTCACAGACATATATTGCAGATAAAAAGTAGTCTACTTCATATGATATTTTTGAAGTTACTCACCCTTCAATGTTCTGCTCATCACAGTAGTTATAGAATCTGAGCACTAAATGTTCTGTTATTTGATTGTCCTGCTCCTCCCAATTGAATCTTCTGTTATTTCAACAAGTAAATGTCCTGTTATATGTCCAATTCCTAAGCAAATGATTGGTGTCGATGCAGATAACAAGAGCAGCCAAGATGTTGACAACGGGAGTCAAATTCCATGGTTTTATACTTCGGTTGGACTTGCGTTTCAATACAGGAATTTGGGGAGTTTGCAGTCCTTTAGTGCTTCTGAAGCAACATGTTTATCTAGAAAGCACTTTTGATTGTCAAAAAGTGCTTCTAACCCCGCTGAAGTTGTAACAAAAACGTTCACTTTAATGTCAAATTCTTGTTCCTACTTTCTTTATCCGAAAACAAAATAAAGGAGATAAGAATTGACATAAGAGTGGAATTAGGGAGAATATCAGTTCCATTCCCCACAGAAGGTAATCTCGACTTCTTACAAGCAAAGAGAGCTACCGTATCATATTCCTCCTCCAGATTCAAAACATTATTTTATGCACCTCTGGTACTAGTTATTGAATAATCTTCAGCTAACTTCTTAATTCATCTTTTTTAATCTTTCCAGATTAATCTTTTAGTTAATGAAACTAATATAAAAACATACTTATGCATTCTTTTCACATAGATGTCAGAGCAAGGAGATCTTTTGCGTCCAATTTCCTTAGACTCTTCCACAACACTTCTAAGATATAAGCAACACGATGGACGAAATCACCTTTTACCATTCATCGGTGTTAATGGGTACAATACAAGTTTTAACATCAAACGTAATATACAAGATTAACTCCTTTACACAGCAGTTACAGACTACACAGTTACAGTAACACAGGTAAATTCCCTTATGGAATACAACCACCGAACATGTCCGGTAAGTACAGAACAAACTTGATTCTACTAAAACCAAACTCAATGGGTTGTGAGCCTGAACGTGTGAACTAACTCGGAGAGCCTTTGCTCTGCCACTACAACGTACAACAAAACCACTTGGTGGTGCCTACTCAGTAATTAGCATCTCAATATCTTCCACTGGAGATGGAAGCTGCAAATCACCACAGGACAAGAAGAAGTTATATACATATCAGTAGTGAGAAGTTCACAAGTACATATTCCAATTTTGAAGGGGGTACACAAATGATAGGAAAATAAATTTGAACTCTAAATCTCACTTAATGCAGATATTCAGTCAATCTAGCAGCTAAATCCAAATAAGAAACTATCCAAATAAGTAATCTCAGTGAGATGAACAGCTAGAACACAAGAATGTTCAGCATCTCTTGATATCACCTCTGAAAAGATCAGGAAGGCAAGATTGTCAATTGATGCAGGAACTTCGAAGACATTAAGCAATGGGAGTGGCGCCTATAAATAAATAAAATACGAGACAGCAGGCTTACAATATAGACCACTAGATGCACCTATAACCAAGGAGAGAGAAACTAAAACTTAAAGTAAAAGACTTAGATTATTGACCCAACGTAATATGGGAACAAGGAATACCCGGGAAAGAAAAACAAGGCCTTGTAGACAATAGAAAGAGTGGAACATGAATGATATGGCTGACCCATGTATTTAAGAGAGCCCATGATGACGATGATCAGTATCAGTATTGGTGATTGTGCTACCTAGAGTAGGTGAAATGCTCAACATCTCGGAGACAAGCAACTACACTCCATAATTAAGAAACTTCAATAACCATCAAATTTTATGTTGGAGTAAGAAGGCACTAATGCATCTTTACATTCTTTCTAATTTATCAAACACAAACCACCTTTAACATCAGCTCCTCATAATCATATTTTGCATTTTTTCCACAGATCAAGCAAAAGCTTGGTCACTCGTAATCATGTGATTGTAAGGCCTTTTCCTGCTTTTGAAGGCAATAAAAGACCACACTCAACACCTGGTTCTTATCTCTTCCAAGCTTTCCAACAGAGCAAAATCACTTAAAGATTAACTATGCCCTATGGAAGGATTAATTCTCGCCTGATTGAAGAGTTCTGTTAAACCTACTTGTTTCATTGTCAGAGTTTCTTTTTTAGTGTACCTTCTTTGTTCTTAACTTTCTAAATTAACAATACTAAGTCAAGGAAACAACAATCTCATCCCTAAAAGACACAACACCCATGCTTAGACTTACTCCAAAAACTCAAGATTTCTCAAATACTGGAAAGATAAGTAACAACGCATGAATCTTACATACAGAGACAATTTCAGATGTTACAATTCCTAGTCCATTCTAATTCAATGCATGAACGTCATACAAAACATTATTGAGCTAATTACTATCACAATATTCGATGAGTAAACTCCATTGTCAATTATCCAGGAATTGAAATAAACCTCTGATAAATATCAAGAGCTGTACGGATGCACATACATACACATAAACAAAGGGGGAATCTTTACAAAGAAAACTGATCCTTTTTAATAAAGAAGACCAGTCCAAGAATTAAAATATACTTTGATATATATTATTTAGCTCCAGCACTATAAACACACACACACATATTGAAAGGCGCACAAAATGAATTCAATAAAAACAGAACGCAAAAATCCAAACATAATCAGAACAAAAGAACCCGATAAATAAATACCTGGATACCCCGTTTCAACGACCCGAGACAAGAACCCGATAACCCGTTGCGGCATGAATGGACATTTTGGAACTGATCCACATCGAGCTTCTTGTTAATAATGCCCACAGTGAAGTAAATGCTATCAGAAGGCGGCAAATCGACTCTGATTTCGTCCACATCGAACCAAAACAAGAACCTTTGGACCTGAATGCCTTTCAACTCTGTGATCGCGCCATAGGTGAGCTTGCCAGTTATGGTCTTCTCGTAGTAGACCAAGTACTCGAACTGCACGTAGCACGGCTTCCCCAAAACGACGACGAATCGGCCATCGTCGGACAACGTGTAGTTCGAAACCGACGCGGGTAGAAGCCCACTTGGGAGCCCATATTTGGGTAAAATCTCGAACACTGTTGCAGGGCTCTCAGAGAGAGAAAGAGAAGGTCTGGGGTTGATGGAGATGAAGAAGATGAGGATTGGGATCAGACCCAGATGGGCTTTCGGTTTCAATGCCATATCCGGGTCGGGTTTAGAGAGAGAGCGTGCGAGTTTGACCTTTGAACGTAAAAAGTAAGGTGCTTTGGATTTGGTATATCTTTGCAGACTGGATTTTCTGGGAAGGTTTTGGGTATATATATATACAGGACGTAAGGGCTTAGAGAATTATACACCGTTGGATTCCAGAGACTTGGGCGGTTGGATTTATTTGTGGTCTGTGTGGTTTTAGTTGAAAGTCATGGGTTTTTCTTGAAATCCATCCAGGTGGGTAGGTACAGAAAATGTGTCAACACCAATAATTTTTTTAGAAAATTTTTGGGATAAAAGCAAAAAAAACAAAACAAAAAAGAGGATAAAATGACTTGTATCACATATGACCAAAAAAAAAAGTTAATTTATCCTTATCCAATGAATTCTCAAGTGACTAATAAAAACAGTTTTCATGTCTATAAAAAAAAAAAAAAAAAAAAAAAAAAAAAAAAAAACCAAACCGTAAAATTCATGCATCACCACTATAACCCAAAAAAGGAAAAATAAAAATAAAATAGAAAGGTACACCAATCAACCATAATTTGAATTTGGTATATACAACTTGACCTAGTTTTAGGAGTTGAAGCTGCTAACTTCTTTTTTCTTTTTCTTTTTTGAGTAAGAAAAGTTGCTAACTTTTGCTTGAGCTACACATGACATTCCTCTGCGAAGGTGGGTCTAAAAACTTTTGAGTCCGTGTAGCATTTTTGTTGTTGTTGGATGAGTCCATGTGTAGATTTGGATGATAATATGAACCGATCCAAATACGGAGTTAGGGAGGTTAGGTGAGTCAAAGAATTATGATAGCATAAAGGTACAATAACATTCTTTACAGCAACTTCGAACCAATTTGGTTAGATGGACGATCTAAACTAAAGAAAGAAGAAAGAAGATGTAAGTTGCTAGAAATTTGTATACATTTTTCATTACAACAGGACATAAAAAAGGTTGAAATCAACTTGGACACACTCGTTTAAAATGATTCCAATTGATTCATACATCCAATCCAATACAACACACACACACACACCCTCAGAGGTAAAATAGGGACAAGTCATCTTGCTTATATCAATCAAGCCTAAAACACATGGTGTTAAGTATAAAACCACATTAAGGCTAAGCTCCCAAAAAGCATCTCTACTCCCAGCAATCTCTTTTCCAGGCTCACACCATCACTCTTTGTTTGAGCAACTGTACCGTTGCTTGTAGAATTCCCTATTAACAGAAACCAAGCAGAATAAATTCAACAGCTAGATGATGAAGAACTATTCAATTCTAAAAACTAAATCACCATTCACAAAAATTATGCTTAAAGTTCAAAACTGGAAGCTTTAGATTATGCAGCTAGAAGAAGAAAATTTGTTATACCACTGGCTATAGGGACAGTGCTGCTAGCTGCAGTCTTGTTTGCATATTCCCTGAACATCTTGGCGTCCGGAGAGTTTGATGGCAAATTCAAGAGATCTGAATCCATCACCAACATCCAAAATGATCAAACTATTCTTCATAATAGTTAATCATGCATCTAACTATGTAAAACTTTAATATACAGAAATTTCTTAATTTATGTTTAGGGGCTTACCAACACATCTAGATATGTTGACAGGGACATGACAAGAAGTAGGAAGTTGTAATGCAAGAGTGGCATTGATCTTGAGGCCAAGATTCGGATCGTCGTGGTCCTTAATTAGGACACAGAGGCATTTCTTGCTCTTCTGCTCCACTTCTTTAATCCCAGTACAACAGTCTAGTGTGGGAGCTTTGGCATCACCACCTACATAAGGAAGGCATGGGGCAAGCCCTACTAGTTGGTCTGCACATTCTGCCCTATCTTGGTCTATGTTTGAGCTGCCAAAATCAACTAGAAACATCAACACCAAGATGCTTGAGAGCGCCACACTCAGCTTCTTTGAGTTGCTCATTGTAATGCAGAAACAGATTACAGAAAAAAGAATGGCCTGTCTTGGAACAGATGCTTTCTGGTTTTTATGTTTTTTCTTGGCTACCCTTTGGGCTTTTATGCATTTTGTGGAGAGATTTGGAAAGTGGTTGGGTAGTGGAGTAGCAATAATTGTGCAAGCTAATGTCTTCTCACAGAGAGCACAAAATATCACATCCCAAAAATAGAAAAAATAATAGACTCATCTCCAGTAGCTACCCCACCATTTGCGCAACTCCAATCCAAATTAACTAGCAATGTGACAACACCATGGCCTTCCCCCTAACAAGACAAGAAAAAAGAAAGAGTTTCAAAGTAACAAAACACTGGTGTGGTAGAAATCGTTGGAAGAATGTAACTCTTCATAGTATGTACGTACATAGTAGGTGAATTACGGTGATTGTAATTTTTACTTACAAGTATATGGTAGTGTCATATGGTTTTCTTTTTTCCTTATTTGTGTTCTATATTTTTTAGCCAGATCTAGGACTACACAGGACGGTTAGGATCTTTTCAGTTAGCTGAAAGATGAGTTGTTTAAGTGGATAAACAAAAGGGTACTTCATTGTCCTGTGCTGTATGTTCTGTAAGACAAATCATTGTCTTAACCACGAAATTGTGGTATTCTAATCATGTAAGGATTCAAGAGGTTTGCATGTTCAGAAATACACTACTTATCCGATTACTCTTGTACAGAAGCTATTCTATTTGAAGTACAAGAGATAATGGAATTCCTAATTCTATATGGATTGAACAACCTAATCCTAATGCAACTAGGAACACTTGACAGCTCCTTGATCCTCTACAGCCAAGATGTCAGATCAAGTTAGTGTTAAGTTATAAAAGCCTAGCACAGATTAACATGTTCCTGTTGCAGCATCAATCTCTCAAATTCAGAAGTAGAAAACAAAAATGACAGATATTTAAGATATGCCTCTGTTTCGTTTCACTCAAGAACCATTATTTTCAACTAGTTTTTGGCAACTCGTGATAATCTGGATTAAATTTTTGTGTGAATCCGTGACCATTTCATTCATCCGTGATCGGATATTACTTAATTAAGGTTATGCAGACCCCAAAAGAAAAAGAAATCTTTCAGCATATAATAATGTTAACATAGTACAAGAAAAATAGGAAATAGAAGACAGAACTTACTTTATACCCCAACCAATATCCTTTTGGAGGCAGACAAATTTGGCTTTCACATTGATTCTAGCCAGTGAACAAGAAAGTCACAAAGTGGCTTTGGACTTGTTCTGCTTTGCATAAATAAATCAGGATCACAACTCTTCCCCATGTGATAAAGCTCTACTATTTAGAACTTTGTTTCAACATGCTCATAATGCAGTAAAAATAAAAAGTGATTTTCTTTCCAACAGTGCAATTTCATAAGTATTGGCAGGACTTTTTCCAGGATGAATGCTTTAAAGTAAAATTTTAATGACAATAAAAAAGAACTTCTAAGCCTTTTTATTTTTTGACCTTTTTTTTATTGAGAATGACGATAATATATTAAACTCATGCAAACTACACGGATGTTAGGACTCGAACTCAAAAACTTTAATAGAGGAGCATTTTCTAAGTTCTAACTTTACATGAAATGTAAAGGAGAAAGGAAAACAAATAATTAGATTCATATTAAACATAATCGAATGGGACCTTTTGCTGAAGTTTAGGTGATCTAGACCTTTGATTAAAAGTTGCCGTGATGATGTGGCTAGAAAAAGGTTGCAGAATTAAATGTGCCTTTGCCCCTAGGTGATTTCTGGTTTAAGGTAGCTAATCTAAATGGATCACTCTTTCTCAATCAGTATTGTGCCACGTGTGTGGATCACAATAAAAGTTTGTAAAGCATAAATCAATACCATGCCAGCACATGGGTGTTAATTATAAATCAGTGTGCTGTAACCATCTTCATTTTGGGACAGTTATCACCATTTCCTATTTGAAATGGTCCTGTCAAGCTCATACTAAATCACTTCTTTTTTTTGACGATATATATATATATATATATATATTTCTTTGTAGGGTTCTTTCATTTAGACTCGCAGCATGTCGTATGCCTAAGGCAATTGTTTTTTGTAGGGTTCTTTCATTTAATAACAATAAATTTTTGTAGGGTTCTTTCATTTGTAATGCACATCACCTCATGTTTTCATCTACACATAATGCATCTCAGATATGCATATTTTATATATATAACTAATGGTTGATCTGATCATGCAAGTCCTCATATTGAACTTCTCAATTTAAGTAACGTGAACAACATCAAACACGAACACAAGTGATATCAAAAAGTTGCTTATATTTTTAGGTGCACTTTGTCATATTTCCTTAAACTTAAAAGTTTAGCCATTATATAATATTTTAATATATATTATTTGTATTCAATAATGTGTATAATGCGTGAATTTTGTGTGCATTATTGAAAAGTTTGTAAACAATAAGTGTATTAAACATGAAAAATACATATGTACATGTTCAATACGAGTATTGTACATTTGTTTTTAAAAAAAATGGAAAAAACCCAATATAGCCGCGCTTTTAAAAAATATTTCAAAAAAATTTTAAAAACCGTAGTATAGCCATGCGTCTATACTCTTCAATAAAAACAAATAATTAAAAGAGGACACTCCTAGTTACATTAGTTTGTCCATTATGGATATGAATTTGGTATATCCTCGCTGCTATACAAGTAAAATACGTATGTATTTTATTCAGCAAAATTTTGGCAAAATACAACTTAAAAGTTCAGTCACAATATAATATTTTAATATATATTATTTACTTTCAATAATGTGTGTAATACATGAATTTTGTGTACATTATTGAAAATTTTGTAAAAAAATACGTGTATTAAACATGAAAAATACTTACGTACATGTTCAATATGAATATTGTACATTTGCTTTTCAAAAAACGTGAATTTTACTGCACGGCTATACTATTTCTTTTTGAAAAATTAATAAAAACCTAGTATACCTGAACGGCTATACCATTTCTTTTATAAATAATTAAAAAACACTGTATAGCAGTGTGGCTATACTATTTCTTTTTAAAAAGTTTGGAAAAACAGAGTATAGCGTATTTCCGTTATTAAAAATTGGAAACAACCCAGTATAGCCTTGCAAAATACTATTTCTTTTGAAAAACTTGGAAAAAAACCGAGTCTAGCCTTGCAAAATACTATTTCTTTTGAAAAACTTGGAA